TATATATATATAACTTGTTTTTCAAAGTTGCTAATTTCAAATATCCTTCTTCCTCTGTTTTTGAGTCAAGAGATGGTATAAATACTGCGTATAAGAGACTGGTTCGATACCTCGCCGAGAACTTCTTTTGCAAGAACCTCTTATAGAAGATCATCATCTTCAGAAAGTAAGCACAGTAGAGCATCGATTTTCCGAAAGTCAATCATCCGAAACGTCAATCATCCGAAAGAATTCCAGTCAGCAAATTTAAATTTTCGCCAGTGCTGTGGCGCTGTAATCTTTGGCTATGTCTTGGGCTACTCAAATATTTTACGTTTTTGATACTAAATTAATATCTGAAGTATAATTTTTTTAATGTTTTTATATTTATCAATATATTTATTTTGTTTGTACAAAATAAAAAAATAATTTTTAACGATACAATAGTCTTTGTTAGGCTTAACATCGACGAAAATTCAACACGAAGCGACACGCAACGGAAAAAAAATTTCAACATCAGATACGCTAAACTATTTTTTCGTACATAAATCGATTATCCGAAATATCAGTTATACGAACAACTCCATTCCCCAATTGATTCGGAAAATCGACGCTCTACTGTATTTACTTATAGTCGACGGCGTGGGAACGTGGATGGCGATGGAAAACCACCGCATTATTTTCTTCCTCGTTATAAGTATTATGACGTACAATCCGGGAATGGCCCTCGGTTCCCAGCGGACTTTCGATGGTCGGAGGGTGCTAAGAATCTCCGGGCGAAACAAAAAATTCTCTACGTGAAATGTTAGAAGTATGTTTGAAAGTGAAAAGTTAGATGATACGGCGAAGGAAATGGAAAGATTAAACATTGATATAATGGGTGTAAATGAAGTTAGATGGCCCGATACGGGATTTACAAAACACATAATGGAAATTTTTATTATTCGGGAAAGAATTCGATAAATCGTAACCACGGAGTATGTGTTTTATGTAACGAAAGTACGAGAGCTTACCGGAACAAATAGAAGAAATAAATTTACTAATATTTGAAATGAAAAGGGTGATTTTGTTTTGAAATTGGGTGAACAACTGAAACTATGGAAAGAGTACGTTGAAAAATTATATTTTGACGAGAGAAATTTAAACCCTATAATAATTGATAAAGAAGAAGGACCGACAATATTGAAAATAGAAGTAAGAATGCAATTGGAACAACTAAAGAAGGTAAATCTACCGGACCAGACGAAGTTCCCGCTGAAATTTTGAAATTACTGGATTAAAACAGTCTTGATATTTTAGTGGATTTTTACAACATTATTTACGAAAGTGGTGTAATTCGTCTAGATCTTTTAATGTCTACGTTTATAAAAATTTCCAAAAAAGATAATGCAAAAAAAATGTGGTGATTATAAAACTATAAGCCTGATGAGTCACGTTTTAAAAATGTTCTTAAAAGATTAACTAATAAGTAAATTTTACGGACTTCAGACGAATTATAAGAGAACAAGACTATTTATTTCACGCAAGAAAAATATAGTTAATGCAACGTTGCAGATAGAAAACAGATAGAGTTTCATCAATTAAGTATTTGGGAACTAACATACAGGAAGACGGCAGATACATTAAAGAAATTAAATCTAGAATAGAAAATGCCAATTTTCTATTTTAGATTTTCTAGAATAGAAAATTGAATAGAAACTATTTTCACAATACAGGCATACCTCGACTTACGTCGTTTCGAGTTACGTCGTTCCCGATTATACGTCGCTTGTTAAAAAAGTATATGGAAAAATAAAAATTAAGTTTAAGTCATTTTATTCGACTTTACGTCTGTCCGCCACAAATATTGAAGTCGTAATATCACTAGATAAACGTTTAAAGCACATAGAATCATATTAAAATATATACAAGTATGTACTGTACTTACAGTACACGCATTCGTAAATTTAGATTACTTTTTTTGTACTATATTAAAAACTAAAATTTATTTGTTTGTAAGCTTAAAATAGATTTTTATTAACCATATATTATTTAAAATGCTTTCCTAGTGATAAGTAGATTCGGAGACAGGTAAATTCGACTTACGTCG